AGAGAGACACAGAGAGAGAGAGAGAGACACAGAGAGAGAGGGAGAGAGAGAGAGAGACACATTAGTAGAGAGCCTCAGTGTGAACAGGACAGCAGGCAATCAGCTGTGAGACTCACGTCCTCTGCGGTCTCGTCTTCCTCGTCTTCATCAGGATGATACTCTTCATCAGAGGAGTCTTCCTCCGCCAGCTGGATGTCCACGAACTGAGGAGCCTGAACGCATCATGAGAACAACAAACAACACCTTTAGCATTAGAGAGCCTGAACGCATCATTATGCAGACTACACCTTTAGAGAGCCTGAACGCATCATCATGGAGACTACACCTTTAGAGAGCCTGAACGCATCATCATGGAGACTACACCTTTAGAGAGCCTGAACGCATCATCATGCAGACTACACCTTTAGAGAGCCTGAACGCATCATCATGCAGACTACACCTTTAGAGAGCCTGAACGCATCATCATGGAGACTACACCTTTAGAGAGCCTGAACGCATCATCATGCAGACTACGGCCGTGTCTCAATTCAGGGGCTGCACCCTTCGGAGTACGCAGCCTACGCGGTCCACGGAGGACCCAGCCCACGTAGACCGGGTAGGCTGGACCGAGCGGCCTACGAAATGAGACGGTCTAATCTACGGAGCGCTTCGTATTTACGTCACGTGATACACGCTGTTCGGTTTAATCCAGCAGCCTGCTAGCAAATTAGCTTACAAGCTAACTCAGCTGAAAAGGATCCAGAAACTTTACTTTTACATTTTTTGGAGATCACCATCGGCGATGAAATAAAGAGAAATTATAAATTAAATATTATATAAATTATATATAGCTGATGTAATTTAATCATATTATTTCATATTTAAAATAAGTCTTAATTTTTCTGTACTAATAAAACAATATGTTTTTTAAATGAACAAAAGCATGTTGTATAGATTGATTCTTAATATTAGTGTTCTAATCTTAATAGCTGTGATCATAACAGTTTATATTCTCCTTCTTCCCCTAAACCTGCCCAGATGATGTCCCACTGACCCCATGTCAGCACCTCCAGGTCCAGCAGCACCGTGAAATACACAATTAAACATTTTCTATTACCTATTTTTTGTATTAATAAAATTAAACTGAAGACAGTTTAATGACCTAGAGATATCATATTATTCCACTGCTTATGTACACATGTTGGAAATAATGGTTAAAACCTCAGTAAATGAAATAAACAATGTGTTTAACAATTACAATTTAATATTGTATTTTCATCTTATCACAAAGTAGAGGTAAGAATATATCCATCCTCTCTCTCCAGCTTCATGTCTTCTATTATTATAACTTTCATCATTGAGACAGAGGAAATCAATCATGTTATTTAACATCACCAGCAGTAAAACAAATATCAGCAAAAGTGTGTTTATGGAGTTGTTTATTTGTATTATATGTGCAGCGAGTATATAGAAGCAGCTGTTTGGGGAATCAGACAGACTCAAGCTATAATTGTTACATATCTATTAAAAGAAAGGACACATACAAAATCTAATTCTGAAACTAAGACACAAGTCTGTAGGACGGCAGTAAGCAGAGGTCTGGGTGGAGGATGTTCCTGATCGCCGTTTTGCTTTCTCCAGCACCACGGGGGGTCCAGGTGGATGGCAGCTCTGTCCTGATGATCCGCTGTGCACTCTTCAGATTAGGGGTCCTTCTCCAGCAGATCCGTTTCTCCAGAATTATACTAATTACAGAGAAAAACAAGAGAAAAATAAAAGAGTGAATTAATCATATTAAACAAAGGGTTGCAGAAGTATTATTGCAAAATTTAACTCTAAGCATTTCAGACAAACAATCCCTAAAGGATCATTCAAATGATGTACTGTTCTGGTTTTTAAAAAACTAAAGAGATGAAATGACAGTCACACGTGCATCCCTTTGACAGCACGGCACAAACTAACATCAAGCTAAAGGCTGCTGTCTATTTGTGATTGTGTTATTATTATGGGATTAGGATACATTAAATACACTTTAACCTAAATAAAAGATGATCAAATCTGGTGGAAATATTTAAAATAGGCTTTTCTTTTAGCCCTACCTCAAAGCAGCATGAGCTGAACACAAAGGTTGTAATGTTGTCCCAAAGTTTAATAAACAGTAAAACATTGGAACATGTCAGAGAAATAAATAAAGCAAACAGCAGCTACACGTCAGGGTAGCATTTTATAAATCCCACCGTACTGTAGGCTATACCGGTCTAAATGTATGACTTTAGTAAACTTCTGAATTGAATTAAAAATAAGTGTAAACAACAGTGCAGTACGTCCAGCTAGCTAGTTAGCGTCACATATTTATCCGTATTATTTAACGAAAATGTACGTTTTAATGCCCCTTGGGTTTGACGTGTGTGACATTAGTTAATTTAAAGTAAGTTAAAACCCAATACTCACATTTATTAGTGATTCCTCCGCTTGCTGCTGCTTTTAAATCCACTCTGCTGGGGAGACTGGAAGCCATTTCATTTGAAAAAAACTCACTCTTCCCTGCGCGCATTGCACCCTGGGATATGGTAGGCCGCGGAGTGTACATCAGATGTATCCTTCAAATTGGGGAAAGAAGGCTGCATTCGTGGGCCGCATTCGGAGGAGTCTCGTCTTTAAAAAAAAAATTGGGACAGCCTTCTTTCGGCGGAAGTGACGTATGCGGTCTACGAATGCACCCTTCGAAGGATGAAACCCCTGAATTGAGACACGGCCTACACCTTTAGAGAGCCTGAACGCATCATCATGGAGACTACACCTTTAGAGAGCCTGAACGCATCATCTTGCAGACTACACCTTTAGAGAGCCTGAACGCATCATCATGGAGACTACACCTTTAGAGAGCCTGAACGCATCATCTTGCAGACTACACCTTTAGAGAGCCTGAACGCATCATCATGGAGACTACACCTTTAGAGAGCCTGAACGCATCATCATGGAGACTACACCTTTAGAGAGCCTGAACGCATCATCTTGCAGACTACACCTTTAGAGAGCCTGAACGCATCATCATGGAGACTACACCTTTAGAGAGCCTGAACGCATCATCTTGCAGGACATACACCTTTAGAGAGCCTGAACGCATCATCATGGAGACTACACCTTTAGAGAGCCTGAACGCATCATCATGGAGACTACACCTTAGAGAGCCTGAACGCATCATCTGCAGACTACACCTTTAGAGAGCCTGAACGCATCATCATGGAGACTACACCTTTAGAGAGCCTGAACGCATCATCTTGCAGACTACACCTTTAGAGAGCCTGAACTCATCATCATGGAGACTACACCTTTAGAGAGCCTGAACGCATCATCTTGCAGACTACACCTTTAGAGAGCCTGAACGCATCATCATGGAGAACTACACCTTTAGAGAGCCTGAACGCATCATCTTGCAGACTACACCTTAGAGAGCCTGAACGCATATCATGGAGACTACACCTTTAGAGAGCCTGAACGCATCATCATGGAGGACTACACCTTTAGAGAGCCTGAACGCATCATCTTGCAGACTACACCTTTAGAGAGCCTGAACGCATCATCATGGAGACTACACCTTTAGAGAGCCTGAACGCATCATCTTGCAGACTACACCTTTAGAGAGCCTGAACGCATCATCATGCAGACTACACCTTTAGAGAGCCTGAACGCATCATCATGGAGACTACACCTTTAGAGAGCTCTGAACGCATTCATCAGGCAGACTACACCTTTAGAGAACCTGAACGCATCATCATGGAGACTACACCTTTAGAGAGCCTGAACGCATCATCATGCAGACTACACCTTTTAGAGAGCCTGAACGCATCATCATGCAGACTACACCTTTAGAGAGCCTGAACGCATCATCATGGAGACTACACCTTTAGAGAGCCTGAACGCATCATCATGGAGACTACACCTTTAGAGAGCCTGAACGCATCATCTTGCAGACTACACCTTTAGAGAGCCTGAACGCATCATCATGCAGACTACACCTTTATCACCTTCATCATCAAGTAAGGCGCCGTGCTGGTGGCTGCCTGTTGCATGCAGCTCCCGGTGTTTTATTGTTCTTTGTCTTTTTGTTTACTTTTATTCTCTTAGTTGTACTTTTTTCTTTGGATATTTATTTTGTTTTGCAGCGAAACTATGGCCACGTTTACTTCGAACGTTTTCTGGTCATTCTTCTGCTACTTTTTTCACTTTTTGTGTCGGAGAGCCATGCTCAGAGGAGTGATGGCATTGTTTACACGCGTGAGCAGCTGATTGCGCTGTGCCGACCCGTGCTGCTGCCCGGAGCCAGGCATGACATCCCGGAGGAGCTTCGGAGGCTCAAGCGTGGCTGCAGAGCTGGGGCCAAGCTGAGGATGAAGAAGAAGATGAGGTACAAACCCTGTGTACCGGCCATCATAATGGGTAACGTGAGGTCTTTGGGGAATAAGATGGACGAGCTCCGCGTGCTGACGAAGACGCAGTGGGAATACCGTGAGTGTAGCATCATGTGTTTTACCGAGACTTGGTTGCACTCGCTCATCCCGGATAATAACACGGCTCTCCCCGGCTTCACGAGTGTTCGGGCGGACAGGGACGTTATTCTGAGCGGTAAAAAGAAAGGAGGAGGGATTGCACTGTATGTGAACGAACGATGGTGTAATCCTGGACATGTTACTGTGAAGGAGCGTTTCTGTAGCCCGGACATTGAACTGCTAGCTGTGGGATTACGTCCATTTTATCTACCTAGAGAACTTTATTCTGTCATCGTAGTTGCTGTCTATATTCCACCGAACGCGGACGCGGAGGTGGCTGGTGACGTCATTCACTCTTCTGTGGCCAAACTCCAAACTCTTCACCCAAATGCATTCATAACAATAACTGGGGATTTTAACCGTGCAAAACTGGACAAATCTCTGCCTACATTTCACTCAGTATGTGAAATGCCCCACCAGGGGAAATAATACTCTGGATCTTCTATATGCAAATACCAAGAATGCATATTGTGCCACTGCCCTCCCCCCCCTGGGCAGATCTGACCACAACCTCGTCTTTTTGGCTCCTAAATATGTCCCACTGGTGCAGAGGCAGCCTGTATCCACCAGGACTGTGAGGAAATGGACTCCAGGGGCTAATGAGGCTCTACAGGACTGCTTCGAGACCACTGACTGGGACGTGCTTTGTGTGCCACATGGAGAGGACATCAATAATATGACTGACTGCATCACAGAATACATCAACTTCTGTGAACAAACAATATTACCGGCTAAAACTGTCAACTGTTTCCCCAATAATAAACCCTGGATTACTAGTGACCTGAAAACTCTTTTAAATAAGAAAAAGGAAGCTTATAAGTCTGGGGACAAATCAATGCTGAAGAGTGTCCAGCATCAACTGAGAGACAATTTGAGGAGGGGCAGAGATTCGTACAGGAAGAAGCTGGAGACTAAGCTCCAGCTGAACAATAGCAGGGATGTCTGGGCTGGGATGAAGGCTATCACTGGCTTCAAAGGGAGAGACAGACTGACTGTGGGCCACCCTGGAGAGGGCCAACGAGCTGAACACCTTCTTCAATAGGTTTAGCTCTCCGCCCGCTGCTGTCTCCTCCACTTCCTCTTCTCACCTCACCTCCTCCTCTCAGCCTGGCATCAACATCCCCCCTCTGCTCACCACCTACACTTCACACCTCTCCTCCACCACCCAGCCTGGCTTCTGCACCCCCCCTCTGCTCACATTGCCGCTGCCCCCCCCCCCCCCCTCTGCTCATCTTGCCTCAGACCCCCCCCCCTCTATCCCCCCTTCCATCTAGCCCCCCCCCCCCGCTTCACTGTGAGCACAGGACAGGTCCAGAGTCAGATGGAAAAACTCCACCAAGGCAAGGCTGCTGGCCCTGATGGTATCAGCCCCAGGGTCCTGAGGACCTGTGCACGCCAGCTGGCTCCTGTTCTCCAGTATATATTCAACCTGAGCCTGCACTTGGAGACCATCCCGGTGCTGTGGAAGACATCATGCGTTGTTCCGGTCCCTAAAAAGACAACTCCTCCTGGCTCAATGACTATCGCCCTGTAGCACTCACATCTCATGTGATGAAGGTTGCTTGAGAGGACTGGTCTTGGCCCATCTCAGACCGCAGGTGAGATCATTCCTTGACCCTCTGCAATTTGCCTACCAGCCTCACCTGGGGGTGGACGATGCCATTATTTACCTGCTGCAGCGTGCTCACTCATACCTGAATGGATCGGGTTGCACTGTGAGAATCACCTTTTTTGATTTCTCCAGTGCATTCAACACGATCCAGCCTCGGCTACTGAGTGACAAGCTGCAGGCTATGAGGGTAAACTCGTCCACCATCTCCTGGATTACCAACTACCTCACGGACAGACCACAGTACGTCCGGCTGGGCAGTGTGCTGTCTGATGTGGTGGTTGGTAGTATTGGAGCCCCACAGGGGACTGTGCTGTCTCCTTTCCTGTTCACCTTATACACCTCTGACTTTCTATACAACTCAGAGTCATGCCACCTGCAGAAGTTTTCGGATGACTCTGCAGTGGTAGGGTGTATAAGGGATGGACGGGAGGAGGAGTACAGAGCGCTGGTGGGTGATTTTGTTGAGTGGACTGGAAGAAATCATCTGCTTTTGAATGTGGCCAAGACCAGAGAGATGGTCATTGATTTCAGGAGGAAGAGGACATCTCCTCCTCTGCCCCTGTGCATTCTGGGAGAGGATGTGGCAGTTGTGGAGGTCTACAAGTACCTGGGAGTGCACTTAGACAATGGGCTGAACTGGAGGATCAACACTGACGCTGTGTACAAGAAGGGGATGAGCAGACTCTATTTTCTGAGGAAGCTGAGATCCTTCAACGTATGCAGTAAGATGCTGGAGATCTTCTATCAGTCTGTTGTGGCTAGTGCACTCTTCTTTGCTGCGGTCTGCTGGGGGGGCAGCATCAGAGCCGGTGACACCTGCAGGATCAATAAAACTGATCAGGAAAGCTGGGTCAGTCATCGGCATCAAGCTGGAACCCTTTGAAGCTGTGGTGGAGAGGAGGACACTGAACAGGCTGTTGTCCATCATGGATAACCCCACCCATCCTCTCCACCTACAGCTGGACAGTCAACGGAGCTCCTTCTCCAACAGACTGCTGCAGCTCCCCTGTCTCAAGGACAGATACTGGAAAACATTCCTGCCCACTGCAATAACACTGTACAACAAATCACCTCTGGCTGGAAGAGAACTCTCTGCTCCATAGTTTCTCTAGAAATAAAACCACCTTGTACATTTTACTCACACATAATCTGTTTCATATTTAATACTCCATAATTCCATATATTTTGAATATATATATATTTGTATATATATATATATATATATATATAATATCTGTATGTATATTTTCTATTTTGTATTTTGACATGTATATTTTATATTTTATTTTATATTTTATTTCTATTCTTGTATATTTTGTTTTATTGTAAAATGCCTTTTATGCTGCTGTAACAAAAACAATTTCCCAATTTGGGATCAATAAAGTACGATCTATCTATCTATCTATCTAGAGAGCCTGAACGCATCATCATGGAGACTACACCTTTAGAGAGCCTGAACGCATCATTATGCAGACTACACCTTTAGAGAGCCTGAACGCATCATCATGCAGACTACACCTTTAGAGAGCCTGAACGCATCATCATGCAGACTACACCTTTAGAGAGCCTGACGCATCATCATGCAGACTACACCTTTAGAGAGCCTGAACGCATCATCATGCAGACTACACCTTTAGAGAACCTGAACGCATCATCATGGAGACTACACCTTTAGCATCAGAGAGCGCTTAGCGTAATACTAACAGCTAAGTGCTAACATCTTAAGGCACGGACACACCAGGCCGATTATCGGCGTCGGTGGGCAGTCGGCAAAAATAAATCACTCTGATTGGCTGTTCAGCTAGCGAATCAGTGCATGAGAAGCGAAACGGAAGCGAGGGACCCAAACAAACTATTAAGAAGGCAAATCTGAGATTTCATTTAACTCCAGCTCTCGACACAGGTTCGGGAAAGCCCCATGAGCTTCTCGTTGTAGAGTGAAAATGGAACGCACACGCTATTTGTTGTTTGTTTATATCACGCATTCTGTTCTTCTTCTCTCGGTTATCACGTAGTCTGTCTTCCGGTTGTTGCCTCTTTTGAATGACGAATACACACTACCGCCGCCTGCTGGTAAGGAGAGTTATTGCCACTCACGCATGTGCAGTTTGTACGTGCTACTTGGCCGTCGGCTGAAGTCTTTGCGGTGTGTTCCAGTGCGACACATGGCCAAGACACAGAGACACAAGGCGACACAACAGACGGGGTCCATCTGTGTCAGTTCTTTGGTGTCAGCTTGGTGTGTCCAGGCCTTAACAGCTAACTGCTGACGTCTTAATGCCAACACCTCACTTCGTCTGTTAACTGCTAACATCTAACTGCTAACAGCTAACAGCTAACTGCTAACAGCTAACTGCTGACGTAGCTAGCTCTTCTGCTACACAGAGACATGACCCCAGACAGGAAGTGAGTGCCCCTGACAGGAAGTGTCTCACCTTGTTGGCGTCGCTGGTCTTCTTGATGGGAGACAGGTTCCATGCTGGGATCACCTGAGAGGAGATATGAAAGGTATGAAAGATATCTAAAGGGTTAGAAAGCTCCATCATGACATCACGCTCAGCACGGCCTCTCACCACTCCTTTCTCCACCACCTCTTTGAACTTCGCCCGGGTCATCTTGGGTTCCTGCAGGAGATAAAGACACATGAAGCTCAGCAGGTGAGCACAGGTGAATGAGAGCTTCTGATTGGACGAGAGACTCACGAAAGCGGGCACAGCCTCGGTGTCATTGATGGCAGCTTTCATCATGGCCACCACGTGCTCGTTAGTGATCACTTCCTGTTGGGAAACACAACCATTAGTGTTCTGGTGGTTCCAATGGTGTTCTGATGGTGTTCTGATGGTTCTAATGGTGTTCTGATGGTTCTAATGGTGTTCTGATGGTTCGAATGGTGTTTTGATGGTTCTGATGGTGTTCTAATGGTGTTCTAATGATGTTCTGATGGTGTTCTGATGGATCTAATAGTGTTCTGATGGTTCTAATGGTGTTCTAATTATGTTCTGATGGTGTTCTGATGGTTCTAATGGTGCTCTGATGGTGTTCTGATGGTTCTAATGGTGCTCTGATGGTGTTCTGATGGTTCTAATTGTTCTAATGGTGTTCTGATGGTGTTCTGATGGTTCTAATGGTGTTCTGATGGTTCTAATGATTCTGATGGTGTTCTGATGGTGTTCTAATGGTGTTCTGATGGTGCTGATGGTGTTCTGATGGTGTTCTGATGGTGTTCTGATGGTGTTCTGATGGTGTTCTGATGGTGTTCTGATGGTGTTCTAATGTTCTGATAGTTCTAATGTTCTGATGTTGTTCTAATGTTCTGATGTTGTTCTAATGTTCTGATGTTGTTCTAATGGTTCTGATGTTGTTCTAATGGTCTGATAGTTCTAATGTTCTGATGTTGTTCTAATGTTCTGATGGTCAGATGGTGTTCTCATGGTTCTGATGCTGGTGTTCTGATGATGTTCTGATGGTTCTTATGGTGTTCTGATGATGATCTGATGGTTCTAATGGTGTTCTCATGGTTCTGATGTTTTCATGGTTCTGCTTATATACTCACATGGATGATGTTCCTGACGTTCACGGTGGTCAGATTGTGCTGTTTGGATTTGGTCTCCAGTGATTGGTCAAGCTGCCTGTCGATATCCACAGGCTCCTCCTCCTCGCTCTCTGAAGCCCCGCCCCTTTCCTCCTCCTCCTCCGTCATTCTCTTCTTCCTCTTTCTCACCGATTTCCTCCTCGCTGCCTTCACCTCCACCTGACTCTCCTCTGAGGACACAGAGTGAGTGTGTGAGTGTGTGAGTGTGTGAGTGAGTGAGAGTGTGTGTGACTGTGTGTGTGAGTAAGGCTGCCTTTACACGGGAACGTTTGCGTTTACGCACCGTAAGCGTTTTCAAAAAAGTCTTCCGTTCACACGCATTCGATTCATTTAACGTGTCTGTTCACACGAGACCGCTGGAAACGCTGTAGTACATATGCCAGGCCTGTAAGTGGCGCTGCTGCCGCCACAAAATACACCAAAAGCAGCGAAGAAGACCCCGGAGCATGGTTGCCATGGTTGCCCTTCTGTTTATGCCCCGCGGTGGATTTAGCAACATGTAGTAGTTCATGTAATTCCAGTCCACTTTTTGCTGATGATTGTGGTAGAGGAGCTGTAGATTTTGTACTAACATCTGTAGCATGGTCGAGCTGTAGATTTTGCACTAACATCTGTAGCATGGTCAGTAGCATTAGCACTAGCAGTAGCTACTGACAGCAGCTACTGACCATGCTACAGCAGTGAGCAGCAGAGGTGGAGAGAGGCGGGGCTATGGCTTCATCTATCGGGAAATTATCGTATAGAGGCGATTACACGGAGCCGTTTGACCCCCCAGAGCGTTCCGGTTGCAGATCTATCCTTGGGACCCGTTATCGTTTGTGGGGTCCATTTCTATCGTTTTGTTACGGCCTCGTGTAAATGAAAGGGCTATACGCAAGAGAAACTATGCGGATACAACACATTTCATTCCCGTGTAAATGGGGTCTATGTGACTGAGAGTGTGTGTGTGTGAGTGTGTGTGTGAGTGTGTGTTACCCATGGTGATGATGAGGCTGGAGTCTGTATCTTCCTCTACCACCAGGTATCCCTCCTCCTCCTCCTCCTCCTCCCCCCCTGCAGGATGCTGCAATGCATCATGGGAGCGTGGGGCTCTGTGGCCGGGGGGGGGAAGGTCTGGACGGGCTGGGTCTGAGGCGTTTTCGGACCAAGTTCATTGTTGAGAAACATGACCTCTGAAACACATTGAAGAGTTATCAAGTCTCATCATGGAGCAGCTGCAGAGAGAGATGGAGAGGAAACACAGAGGGGACACGTGTTGATGTAGAAGAGACATGTGTCCCCTCTGTAGAAGAGACATGTGTCCCCTCTGTAGAAGAGACATGTGTCCCCTCTGTAGAAGAGACATGTGTCCCCTCTGTGTGAAGAGAGAGTCTCTCTACACAGAGAGAGTGGGGTAGGTAAGAGAGGGGTATGATCAGCATTAAAGGTGGGGTGGGTAAGAGAGGGGTATGAACAGCATTAAAGGTGGGGTGGGTAAGAGAGGGGTATGAACAGCATTAAAGGTGGGGTGGGTAAGAGAGGGGTATGATCAGCATTAAAGGTGGGGTAGGTAAGAGAGGGGTATGATCAGCAGTAAAGGTGGGGTGGGTAAGAGAGGGGTATGATCAGCATTAAAGGTGGGGTAGGTAAGAGAGGGGTATGATCAGCATTAAAGGTGGGGTAGGTAAGAAAGGGGTATGATCAGCATTAAAGGTAGGGTGGGTAAGAGAGGGGTATGAACAGCATTAAAGGTGGGGTGGGTAAGAGAGGGGTATGATCAGCATTAAAGGTGGGGTAGGTAAGAGAGGGGTATGAACAGCATTAAAGGTGGGGTGGGTAAGAGAGGGGTATGAACAGCATTAAGGGTGGGGTGGGTAAGAGAGGGGTATGAACAGCATTAAAGGTGGGGCGGGTAAGAGAGGGGTATGATCAGCATTAAAGGTGGGGTGGGGTAAGAGAGGGGTATGAACAGCATTAAAGGTGGGGTGGGTAAGAGAGGGGTATGAACAGCATTAAAGGTGGGGTGGGTAAGAGAGGGGTATGAACAGCATTAAAGGTGGGGTGGGTAAGAGAGGGGTATGAACAGCATTAAAGGTGGGGTAGGTAAGAGAGGGGTATGAACAGCATTAAAGGTGGGGTAGGTAAGAGAGGGGTATGAACAGCATTAAAGGTGGGGTGGGTAAGAGAGGGGTATGAACAGCATTAAAGGTGGGGTGGGTATGAACAGCATTAAAGGTGGGGTAGGTAAGAGAGGGGTATGAACAGCATGAAAGGTGGGGTAGGTAAGAGAGGGGTATGATCAGCATTAAAGGTGGGGTGGGTAAGAGAGGGGTATGAACAGCATTAAAGGTCGGGTGGGTAAGAGAGGGGTATAAACAGCATTAAAGGTGGGGTGGGTAAGAGAGGGGTATGAACAGCATTAAAGGTGGGGTGGGTAAGAGAGGGGTATGATCAGCATTAAAGGTGGGGTGGGTAAGAGAGGGGTATAAACAGCATTAAAGGTGGGGGTGGGTAAGAGAGGGGTATAAACAGCATTAAAGGTGGGGTGGGTAAGAGAGGGGTATGAACAGCATTAAAGGTGGGGTGGGTAAGAGAGGGGTATGATCAGCATTAAAGGTGGGGTGGGTAAGAGAGGGGTATGATCAGCATTAAAGGTGGGGTGGGTAAGAATGGAGAAACCAGCTCGAGTGCGCTAGAATCTGAAAGTACACAACCGGAAAGAATCTGCCCCTTCCTTCAGACTTCCTCACAGAGCCCCTCCTCCCAACACACACGAATGCGCACATGACCAATGAGGGCACGAGATAAGTTTGTGCACGAGATGGAAGGCTTTTTACAGCGCTACAGCTTCCAAGCATTTAATGTATTCATTGCTATCGGGATGTTAAGAGCATTCCATCTGAAGTTAATGACCTACCCTACCTTTAAGTGTTTCTGAAGTGAATGACCTACCCCACCTTTAAGTGTTTCTGAAGTGAATTACCTACCCCACCTTTAAGTGTTTCTGAAGTGAATTACCTACCCCACCTTTAAGTGTTTCTGAAGTGAATGACCTACCCCATCTTTAAGTGTTTCTGAAGTGAATGACCTACCCTACCTTTAAGTGTTTCTGAAGTGAATTACCTACCCCACCTTTAAGTGTTTCTGAAGTGAATGACCTACCCCACCTTTAAGTGTTTCTGAAGTGAATTACCTACCCCACCTTTAAGTGTTTCTGAAGTTAATTACCTACCCCACCTTTAAGTGTTTCTGAAGTGAATTACCTACCCCACCTTTAAGTGTTTCTGAAGTGAATTACCTACCCCACCTTTAAGTGTTTCTGAAGTGAAATACCTACCCCACCTTTAAGTGTTTCTGAAGTGAATTACCTACCCCACCTTTAAGTGTTTCTGAAGTGAATGACCTACCCCACCTTTAAGTGTTTCTCAAGTGAATTACCTACCCCACCTTTAAGTGTTTCTCAAGTGAATTACCTACCCCAACTTTAAGTGTTTCTGAAGTGTGTGCGTGTGTGTGTTTAAGAAAGAGCAATACGTCGTTAAAACATTTACTATAACAATATTATAAAGACTATTAAATAAAAAATCAAGACAATATTTAAACAAAAATATAAATATGTAAGAAACTGAGTACAGTAAAATAAAACATGACCGATACTATATTCCACTGAACACCTGAATACTTCAGAATATTATATTTTGTAATAAATCCACAATCATGATCAATGTAGCTTCTTCCCATGAACAGTTAGCTCTTGTTAGCTTCGATTAGCCTAAAGTTAGCTTCTTCACATTAACAGTTAGCTCTTGTTAGCCTAAATGTAGCTTTTTCCAATAAGCAGTTAGCTCCTGTTAGCTCACTCAGCGGCAGCTCAGCCTGAAGTGGCCGTGAACCCGAACCTAACATGGCCTAACCCTATGAATGAATAGATGAATCAGCTCTTCACTTCCAGAGAGGGAAATAATAATATCCGCATCTCCGTCTCAAAGAGCCAGACCGTGGCAGGGCTTCACAGCTCAGCCTCCATCAGTACCAGCCGGTTCTCCCTCTGACGGCCCGGTACCGGAGGGTTTATCCGGTGTTAAGGTTTAAATGTTTAAAGGTTTACATGTTTAAAAGAGAAACAACAGAAACTTACCGCCACAACAACCGTACGCTCTGCGTGACACTACCGGCTGTGCGTCATGACGTCAGCGTTACAGCGGCCAAAAGGAGGGATTTGATTGGTTAGCACACCTCTGCTTTGTTGTTATATTCTGAGCAAAGCATCAGGTTAATAATAGTCTAGCAGCAAGTCCTCACCATAGACTGTATATATAAAGGTCCTCACCCAAGGTAGAACAAAACACAACAATGATTTTTCTTATCTTTAGGGTCTCCCATTAATGAAATTGATTGTTGTCAAATTTTATTTTGGGAGAAAAAATGTTTTTTTGGTTGTTCTTTAGAATCCCTGAACAAGAGCCAAATTAGACAAGGCCGAATATGGGAAAGGTGACCAAAAAGCCCATAACTTCAGAAGGATCACTCTTTTCCTCTTCAGATTTGCTGAGGTATGAACCAGGTGGCTGTCCTACATCACCAAATAGTCAGAATAAGACTAACCCAATAAAATAAAGTGTATTAGTTCTAAATTGCAAGCCTCTAAAACATAGGTGTAAATAGTAGAGGGTTTATTGAAACTGGAACCTTAATTCAAAGTACAGTATACAAATCCTCAAATCATTCTGTGAGAGGTCAAGTATATAGATGCTAGAATAGAATGTTAAATGTCAGGTTCCTCAGAAACGTTAGGGGACACATTTTGACATTCTGCACAGCAGGTGCAGAACTCCGTACAGGGAAGGCCAACAGAGAGGCACTGGCACTTTCCACTCTCTCCACACTTTGCATCTTTGCAATACAAGTGAGTAATGTCTCTCACTTCTGTAGGTGCTGGGGGTTTTGTAAATAGCACTGGTTGAATGGCCCCATCTCTGACAATCCACCCCTTGCCAACAGGACTCCATAACAAGGGTTTGGGTTTGGGCTGTGACACCATATCGCTGTCTGAAACATTGCTCTTCTTTTTCCGAGGCTGCATCTGTTGTTGATGCAGTTATGAACCTCAGTTCATCCAAGATTGTGCACATCAGTCCAATTTCCTTTTTCTTTTTTCCATATAACAAAAGCGCAAATTCTCTTGCGACTGGCAAAGACTCTTCAAAGCTGGCAGAGAGTCCAACATGGGCCACATCTTTGAGCTCGCTGAGATGGGTCTTGAGTTTGGTGAATGCTGTTGTCTTTCCTATTCTGATTTGTTTTTCTGATAAATGAGAGAAAAGTGATTGAGTCCTATGTTCCTATCACCAAAAAGTACAATTTCCATCTAAACTAAAGCTAAGTTTACAGGACTATAATTCAGTATTTGTGTAGGTAAATAATTGTCTGACTATTTGGTGATGTAGGACAGCCACCTGGTTCATACCTCAGCAAATCTGAAGAGGAAAAGAGTGGTCATTCTCAAGTTATGGGCTTTTTTGTCTCCTTTCCCATATTCGGCCTGGTCTAATTTGGCTCTTGTTTAGGGATTGGGGTAGTTCTAAAGAACCAAAAAAACTATTTTTCCCCCAAAATAAAATTTGACAACCAATTTCATGGGAGACTCTAAAGATAAGAAAAATCATTGTATTTTGTTCTACCTCGGGCAGGGTATCTCAAAATCTGAGGACCCTTCCTGCTAGACTATAAATATTCTTAACAAATGATCTCCTTCCTGAGTCAACACTTCAATAAAAGCCTGAGTCTGTGTTACTAAATATTTAACCCCTAAAGTTACTGGTTTAAAATACACTCATACAGGAGGTAAATCTACACCCCCCCCCCCCCCCCCTCAAATACTCATAAGGAGCTTATTATCCTCTGCTTTAACTTGATAAGGACTTCCTGTAGGGTTTTTATTCAAAGTAACTGTTAGTGAAAGCTATGATGGAGCTCTGAAACATGTTCTGATCATGTTCTCATCCAGGTGGGTTCATAAGTCTCCTCAGATAAACTACAGTCTGGATACAAGTCCTTCAGGAGATAAGTTCTTTATTGATCCCAATCTGGGAAATGTTTGCGACATGGCATTGTACATAAAAGAAATGAAAAGAGTAGAATAAACAATCCAAGGAGGACCCGAGTCTCCTCTCTCTGCCCCGTGTGCTGCATTCATGTGCCGTCACAATAACCAGAGAACAGTGAAGCTTTATAGAGATCTTTATTAAAATATTAGATAAAAACACAGAAACAGGACGTAGAACAAATCAGGATGAGGCGTTCAGGTGCGTCTGCGAGGACTCAGAGCTCTCAGCGCTGCGGCCGGTTTCCTCAACTCGTTCAGCAGCGAGAGGCCGAGGGACCGGACCATCGGACCAGGACCAGGGCGGGGGGGCGGGGCCTCAATATGTGGGGCGGGGCCTCAATATGTGGGGGCGGGGCTTCAACCTGGGCGGGGAGCACTATCTGTGGGGGGGCCTCAGGGTGTCTCCGGTGGAACAGGGACTCCCGGCGGCGGGTGCAGGGGCTCGATCGCAGCACCGCTCTGAAACCATACGGTGTAGTCACCTTCTCCAGGTGAGGCAGCGACATGGCGGCGCGCGTCGATAGGTCCGTATCCGAAGCCTCTGTGGGGGGGGCGGGGCCTCAGGAAGTGGGGGCGGGGCCTCAGGGGGAGGGGCAGCAGCAGGAAGCGGGGGGAGGGGCGCGGTAAATCCTTAGTGACAAAGTTAAAGGTATTTTCAGGTAAAGAAATGCAAGGATTTAAACCGTTCAAATTCGTATAAATATCCATCATTAATAAATCTGAGATCAAACCGAATTTCAAAATGTACAGAAAAGTCAGAATTATCAGAAGAAAAAAAAAGAGACCAAAGACGTCTTCACCTTCTCCACGTGAGGCAGGATGTGATGGCGCTCCTCATCATCATCTTCCTCATCAGGGTCAGACAGCAGCCGGCGGTGGTCCGGAGAGCGTCTCGGGGACAGGAAGTGAAGCGGGCTGCGAGACGGGATGATGAAGCCCGGCGTCCGCTGAGGAGTCAGAACCAGAACCCGCAGAGAGGAACCAACAGAGGACATGGTGACGGTCTGAGGACACAAACACAGTTAAAGACACAGGAGACGACTACAAAGACAACATGGGACGTCTAAACTACGCCAAAAGACTACAAAGAGACACAAACAACTACAGACACACCAAACACTAGAGACACACCAAACACTACAGAGACACACCAAACACTAGAGACACACCAAACACTACAGAGACACACCAAACACTACAGAGACACCAAACACTAGAGACACACCAAACACTACAGAGACACACCAAACACACCAAACACTACAAAGACACCAAATGTCTCCAACGATACGACCAGGACCCAGACAGAGTCTAGAACCCTTACAGTTGGGTTTTGTGTCTCGGCTCTCGCTCTCTTACCTTCAGTCTGAGTTTCCCTTGTTGCCACTCTCCGTCTTTCTCATGGTTTATATATAATTGTTCAATCAGCAGCAGGTGGATCCAATCACTCTGACCACGCCCCCATCCGTATGACCACGCCCACTGAGTCCAAACTGATCACATCATGTGACCTTCATGGTTACTGAAGGGAACCAGTAGAACCCTGGAGTGTCTCTTTGGTTCTTTAAACCAGCTGATGTACGCAGGAATGTTATATTATAGATTTTAAAATTCAAACTGGACTTCCGTCTTTATGATCAGAATCAGAACAGCCACTTAAAGAGATTATATTCAGCGAACCCATTAAAATACTGTTCTACGTTGAGCACCCTCTAGAACACACTGAGTCACAAAGATAAAGGTATTTTCAGCTAAATCAATTCAAGGATTTAAACCTTTAAAAATCTTATAAATATCTATCATTAATAAATCTGAGGTCAAACTGAATCTCAACATTTCCGTGAAAAAAAATGAATTAGATTTTTTTATAAAAAGTCAGAATGTTTTCATTTTCAGGAAAAGTCGGAGATTTAAAAAAGAAAAACGAACTTTGAGACAAAAGTCAGAAATGTTAGATTTTCCAAACGAGTTCAGGATTCTGAGAATTCAGAGTCGACATGCTGAAAGTCGCTCTGAGGGAACACAGCCTCTGCAGACCGTCAACATGCACTCACACCTATAGAACACACCACAGGAGAGGGAACACCACAGAAGAAGAATAGGGACTCTTTAATATCAAAAGGGTGGATTCATTAGCATCCGTGATGAAACCTTTGAAACAGAGAAGTGTTCATGAAGCCTGTGGAGACGGAGGAGAGGGTGTATACACTTTAATAGAAGGAGGACCCAGGACGTCTCCTGAGGAACTCCACTTGTTATTCTCTTCCTGAAGCACACACACTCTGCTCAGACTCTGATCTCACACACTCTGCTCAGACTCTGATCTCACACACTCTGCTCACACACTCTCTGCTCACACACTCTGCTCACACACTCTGCTCACACACTCTGCTCACACTCTCTGCTCACACACTCTGCTCACACTCTCTGCTCACACACTCTGCTCACACTCTCTATGATCTCACACACTCTGCTCACACTCTCTATGATCTCACACTCTGCTCAGACTCTGATCTCACACTCTGCTCAGACACTGATCTCACACACTCTGCTCACACTCTCTGCTCACACACTCTGCTCACACTCTCTGCTCACACACTCTGCTCACACTCTCTGCTCACACACTCTGCTCAGACTCTGATCTCACACACTCTGCTCACACACTCTGCTCACACACTCTGCTCACACACTCTGCTCACACACTCTGCTCACACTCTCTGCTCACACACTCTGCTCACTCTGCTCACACACTCTGCTCACTCTGCTCACACACTCTGCTCACACTCTCTGCTCACACACTCTGCTCACACTCTCTATGATCTCACACTCTGCTCAGACTCTGATCTCACACTCTGCTCAGACACTGATCTCACACACTCTGCTCACACTCTCTATGATCTCACACACTCTGCTCAGACTCTCTATGATCTCACACACTCTGCTCAGACTCTCTATGATCTCACACACTCTGCTCAGACTCTGATCTCACACACTCTGCTCAGACTCTGATCTCACACACTCTGCTCAGACTCTGATCTCACACACTCTGCTCAGACTCTGATCTCACACACTCTGCTCAGACTCTGATCTCACACACTCTGCTCAGATCTCACACACTCTGCTCAGACTCTGATCTCACACACTCTGCTCAGACTCTGATCTCACACACTGATGTGAACAGAACGATGACATCATCCGTTTACACCAAGAGTTCATGATGATTTTACTGCAGCGGGACAAACAAACAAGGAACTGCTAAAAACAGCAGGAAGTCAGGATCCTCCACAATAAGAGTCCAAATCCCCCCGTCCAGAAAAAACAAAGTAACCACAATCCCGCCTCTTCGTCATCATCTTCATCATTAGTTAAAATCAGTCTTTGCTGCTGCCTCCCCCAGGTGCACCATGGAAGATCGGCCGGCGCCACACGGCGACCTTTGACCTGCGGCGAGTCCTCGTCTCCATGGAAACTGTCTCATGGTGCCCCGCCCCCCCCCGCAGCGTGTCACCGGGAGGGGGCAGGGCTACTTCCAGTGGTCAGAGCGCTCTCTGGCTTGTGATTGGTCCGTCAGTCGCTGTCAGAGCCGACGGCCGACGAGCCTTTCCTCTTCCTCTTCGGAGCTTTGGGCTTTGAGTCCTCCTCCTCCTGAACACACACACACACACACACACACACACACACACACATACACACACACATTAATATACAGATGATACATCATACATATAAACTCTGTGGTTATGACAGATGATATTACACATTTATAAAATAAATAATGCCCGTCACACAACAAGGTTTATATATATATATAAAGTATATGAAGTACTCACAGAGGTATATATATATATATATATATAGAGTATATGAAGTACTCACGGAGGCGCTGCTGGAGGCGCTCTCCTCCTCGGGGTTGCAGGGCGGCGCCGCTCCTTTTCGGGATCGAGGCGACGAGGCGGGAGCTTTACGGCGAGACTTAGGAGGTTTAGACTGAGAGTCCTCGTACTCCTCAGCCAGGGAGAACAGGTCACTGAACCTGGGGTCAGGGGTCAGAGGTCAGGCACACATCAACACACAGTTTCATCTAAAGACTACACCTGGGGACCTTTAAACTGCATTACCCAGAATGCATCAGAATCAGGTTTATCACCAGGTAGGTTGACTCGTACGAGGAATTTGACTTGATGTCGTGGTGCAGACATCAAAGAAAAACAAGAATTAAAAACACAGATAGAAAACTATTTAAAAAAAACTATAATAACGTTTAAAAAATAATAACAAAATAGTAATCATGCATATACATGAAGACTTTTTCTTTATTCAGCCTTGGCCTGTTGTAATCTGATTACTCTGCGCTGAGTGAAGAGCGTGTGTGTGTGTGTGTGTGTACCTCATCTTGTGAGATTCATCACAGCTGGCCTGGACGTGCTGCAGAGCCTGAAGGATGGGCGTCTGAGAGAAGACTGAACACACACACTCATTAATACACTCAATAATAACAACATTATAATTAATATATACACTGATACAATGACATGTGGGGTTCCTCAAGGCTCCATCTTGGGGCCTCTTCTCTTTAACGTCTACATGCTACCGCTGGCTCAGATAATGAAAAACAACAAAATAAGTTACCATCGCTATGCGGATGACACACACATTTACATAACCATTTCACCAGGAGACTATGCTCCAATTTGAACAAATCAATGACTGGATGTGTCAGAACTTTCTCCAATTAAACAAAGATAAAACTGAGGTAATGGTTTTTGGAGCCAAGGCAGAACGTATAAAAGTTAGCGCTGAGCTTCAGTCTGCAATGTTCAAAACAACAGATAAAGCCAGAAATCTAGGTGTAGTCATGGACTCTGACCTGAGTTTCAACAGTCACATTAAAACAGTTACTAAATCAGCCTACTATCACCTGAAGAACATATCTAGGATTAAAGGACTAATGTCACCGCAGGATTTGGAAAAACTTGTCCATGCTTTTATCTTCAGCAGACTCGACTACTGCAATGGTGTCTTCACAGGTCTCACTAAAACATCTATTAGAAAGCTGCAGCTAATTCAGAACGCCGCTGCTCGAGTCCTCACTGACACTAAGAAAGTGGATCAGTCCAGTTCTGAAGTCTTTACACGGGTTCCTCACTGACACTAAGAAAGTGGATCACATCAGTCCTGTTCTGAAGTCTTTACACGGGTTCCTCACTGACACTAAGAAAGTGGATCACATCACTCCTGTTCTGAAGTCTTTACACTGGTTCCTCACTGACACTAAGAAAGTGGATCAGTCCAGTTCTGAAGTCTTTACACTGGTTCCTCACTGACACTAAGAAAGTGGATCAG